CATGTAGTCGACCACAGTTCGTGTCCCAGACCCAGTGGCTTAAACTCACGTCAGGCGCGTGTGCGTGCATGCCCAAGATCCCGAGAGGAGAATGGAGGAGAAGGGATTGCGGCATGGCCATCCCCCCCCGGGGGGGGGGTAATTTCTTGCTTTCTGTCTCTCCGTCTCTCTCTATCTTTCTGGTGAGCACACGTGCCCTATAGCAAAAACCTCTCTAAAAAAAAATTATTTGTTGTGATTTTCCAAGCTGCTGAATCCAAGACTCAAACCATGGTTAGCCATGTGGGAATGCAGTATCTTAACCACCACACCATCTGCTGGCCCTTCATGAACTTCTGAAAACTTCTCATATATGCTGAGGATGATGACGGAGGACACTATTATTGAAATGCACTCCTGGAATTTAATGGGGGTAATGAGACCCCAGTACTGATAATGTATTACCACTCAGTGATCACAAGTGAAGTGGACACAGAAGTCAGCAGGGCACAGTGGTAGTCAGAGCAGAGGGACACATAGGATCTTGAGTAGTAGCTAAATGATCATAGACACCAAGGACAAAAATATGTGGGCATCATGGTAAGATCCTATTTAATCCAGATTCAAAAACAAAACAAAACAAACAAAAAAACACCAGAGATCTAGAAATCTGACAGCCTGAGGACACTAAATTCCCAGACTTTAACCAGTTGAATGCAAATACCATGTACTCTGTAGTCTACGATATTGCAAGTTTCTATCATAAATGTTCCTCCCAATTTTCCTCCAAGAGAACTGTGGTCATTTAGTAGGGTGTGCAGTGAAAAAGAAAAGTACCTCACTTTCTGGGGTTTATGACTGGCTCTGAGCTACTGCTAATCCCTAGTCATGGGCTGAGGTTGCGGGAATTAATGGGAGTCAAGAAAGGAATGGAGTTTGGGCCCAGACCATTTCATGGTGGCCCAAATGGATTCCTATCTATCCTGTGGTTATATCTCCAGGTCCTAAGTATACAGCTGAAATATATTTCAAATATATTTGAAACAAATAAATAAATCTATTTCAGCTGTATATTCAGCAATAGGCAGAATCTCCACATTGGCTTCCAAAACTACAGATTAAGGACTGTCATGATAGGAAGGTCCAAGTGAAAACTCCTGGTGAAGCTTCTCCCTAACAAAGTAGTAAATCAAATAGCAGAGATTAGTGTCACCACAAAAAACTTGAAAGCATGCAAGATCAGCATGCAAGGACTCATGGAAATTATTATCATTGTTATCACTTATTTATGAGGACTAGCATCATGGAATTTTTAGTATTACCTCCCAACTTCATCATCAGAACGTTATCACATTGGTACTTTGAAACTGGCCATGGTGGGAGTATTTACACCACGGAAATGACAAACACTATAAATTGAGCTTTTTTCCTTTTCTTTTCTGAGGGCCAGTTTATCAGCTAGCCACTGATCCCTATCACATTGTCATTTAACTTCCCTGTTTGGCTAGTACATATGTACCTTGGACTTGGAAAATGATGACAGATTATATAAGAGCAATTAGATTGTGATTTCGATTGTAGCTGTTGTTCCAGATCTGGTCTATTTATTGTACATATCAACCCAATCTCTGACACTTGCTGCGGATAGAAGGATGGTTGGATACATACCTGGGGGTCAGGGGGTTGTTTGTGTAATAACATGGTTATGCTAAGTAAGAGCATGCTGCTACTCTTTTATTAATATTTAAGTAGGAGAATAAAAGTACATATTCCTATGCTGCAGGGATAGAAAAACAAAAACCTTTCTGAACTTCTTTGTAGGTAAAGTTTACATTGTGACTTAACGTCCAACAATGAGAAATGCTCAGTGAGACATGAATTTGGTATCTTGGCTCTCCATATCCAAACACTGCAGTCACAGCTTCCTCATTCCTGTGCCATGGCTAAAGAGACTGTTCCTAGGGCCAGCAGGTGGGGTGCAAGTTAAGGCAGCTGGATCTACATGGCTAGTTGCAAGGTTCAACTCCCAGACCCACCAGCCTGAAAATCATGTCGGGCGCATGTGTGTGCATGCCCAGAATCACAGGAGGGGAATGGAGGAGAAGGGATTGTAGCATGGCCAACCCCCAAGAAGGTAATTTATCACCTTTTCTCCCTCTCATTCTCTCTCTTTCTCTCTCTCTCTCTTGTGAACGCATGCACCCTATAGCAAACTAAAAATTAATTAATTATTAATTAATAGAGATCATGTTCCTAGATTCAACAGTTGCAGCAGTGGCTTCCAGACTCCTCAATCTCTTGACTGTGGTAGAGATAACAGTTCATTCCTCTGGGAGGTCATAGAGATAACAGTTCATTCTTCTAGGAGGTCGGTGACGAGATCCCCAGATTCATTCCTGGAGTTTGGCCTTTCCACCCTTCCAATGATTATGTAAACACCTCATTTATCATATCAAATCCCTTTCTGCTTATAACGGTTATAATGGATTTTGCTATATGCAACCAAACTCTGAGACACCTCTTTTTGAGTTTTTCTTTCCCCCATCAAATTTCATCTCTATTATCTAACGACTTCTTATCTTACTCCCCAGAAATGAACTCATCTCTCACATTTACAGGGGTTAAAAAAAAAAAAAGAAAGAAACAGAGAAAGTTACTCAGGAATGTCTTAATGTCTTGCCAATCCTAGGTCTCTTATCCCACCCTGTGGTTATTTGGTTATTTCTCCACCAGCACCACCTTTACCATCTCTTTCCTACATGGATAACCCAACCAACTTCAGTCTGGGTTCCATCCCTTCTTTTTTCTTTTTCTTTTTTTTTTTTTGGAGAGGTTTTTGCTATAGGGCGCATGTGCTCGCCAGACAGACAGAGAGAGACATAGAGACAGAAAACAAGAAATCACCCCCCAGGGGGGGATGGTCACGCCGCAATCCCTTCTCCTCCGTTCTCCTCTCTGGATCTTGGGCACGCACACACATGCGCACAGCGTGAGTTCTAAGCCACCGGGTCCGGGACGTGAACCGCAGTCGACTACATGGGAGTCCAGCGACATAGCCATTACACTAACTGCTGGTTCCCCTGGGTTCCATCCTTTTCTGTCTCCACAATGTTCCCTGTATCTCAGAACTTTCTCTCTTTTGACTCTATTCATTAATTACAGAAAAAACACCAAGCCTTACACATGGAAATAAACGAATAAATCTTTTCCCTTCTAACTAGGGTCATTGCCAAACTTCCTAAGAGAATCATCCACATTCGCCTACACTTGATTCCCTTCCATTCATTCCTCTGTCCATGAAATTTAGCTTTCACAGCTCTCGCTCCACTGAAATTGATCTCACTGAAGTAACCAGTAACCACCCCTGCCCAATCTCAAGGATCCCTTTCATGGCTTTTCTTGCTCCATCTCTTGGGGGCAAGTGACAGTGCTCATTCTCTCCTCCATGACTGTCACGACAGCACATTTCCCCCAGCTTTCCCTGGGACCATCTGGTTGATCTTTCTCTATACATTTGGAGGATCCTTATTCCACTCACACTTAGGATGCTCTTTTCTGCAAGGCATTGTCCCTGAGCCCTACGAATTGCCCACCTAATGGTTCACCAAGTCCATGGCTTTAGCTACCAACAGCGCCCAAATGTACTTTTCTAATTCAGACTTCTCCCTGCATCCAGACCGTATATGTGATAATTTCCTACTTTATATCAAATCACTTTGGACACCTATTTCTGCCTGGATATCCCACAGTCACCTCAATCACCATGCATCCAAAACAGGACTAATCTTCTCCAACATCTGCATCTCCTCCTTGAACCCTTGTCCTGTGAATGGCCCCGCTGTCCACTCAGACACTTCAGCAGCTATCCAGGAATCATCTTGAGTTCCTTCTCTCTGGTCCCTGAAAACAAAATCATCACTAATAGATTTTGACTCTACCATTAATACTCTGTAAGGTGCATCTCCTTTCCAGCCCCACTCTGGTCCATCCCTCTGTCCTGTCTCTCTCTTCTCTGCTTCTGCTCACCTACTAATCTCCCCGGCTTCCTTCCCAGCATCCATAGTCCATCCTCCACAGAGAAGCCAAATCTGATCATGTCACTTCCTTCCTTGAGTCCCCCTAGGTGATTCTCCACCCTGTCCATGTGCATGTGCACACACACACACACACACCCAAATCTGATCATGTCACTTCCTTCCTTGAGTCCCCCTAGGTGATCCTCCACCCTGTCCATGTGCGTGTGCACACACACACACACACACACACACACACACACTTACACATCTAACAGGGTTTTCAGGATCAGGTTCACATTCCCTAGACCCAAAGCCTTCATAATCTGGTTTATCTGATTTCATCTCCCTCCATTGACCCTGAAGCTTTACATTAACCCACGTAAACATGATGCGTCCACTCACTCCATGGTTTTCCCTCTTCTTCACCTAGACCACTCCCTTCTCATCCTTAGAGACCCAGCTCATAACATCTCCAGGAAGTTTCCCTCTTCCCCTGGAGCACAGCCACCCATCGCTATGCTTCATATACCCTGGACTTAGCTCTAATTTCACGTCACGCTGTCAAATATCAGTGTGTTAGAGAGGCAAGTATATCTATCATTGCACTCGTTCACTTGCTGAATGTTAGCGTTCTAGCACGAGACCACGTGTTCCTTCGAAACCCAAATCATGGGGTAGCAGAGTGCCCGATGCAGAATAGATTCTGGTGCGTGTTCGATGAATGAATCATTAAGTTTCGCTTAAATGTCATTTGCTAGTTGTTATGTGTTTCATTGTGCCCTTTAAAAACAGGTATGTTGGAGTGCTAAGCCCTAGGACCTTACTTGGTCTGTGACATTATTTGGACACAGGGTTTTTACAGAGTAATCAGATTAAAGTCATAGGGTGGAAAATCTGAACCCAGAGACACACATGCATAGAGGGAGGACAGCCTGAAGGGACACAGAGAGAGAGGATGACTATCTACAACCCAAGGAGAGTGGTGGTCAACAGTTCTACACTCACGGCCTTCAGAAGGATCCAACTTTGGTGACACCTTGATTTCAGACTTCTAGACTCTAGAACTGTAAGAAAAATTTATATTGTTTAGTCACTGTATGGTACTTTGTTATAGCAACCCTAGCAAATTCATACCACTGTTTCCTATGCCTTTTAAAATATTATTTTATTTTATTTCTTATTATCATTTTTTATTTGACCAGAGAGAGAATGAGAAAGCAAAAAATAAGTCACCATGTCCAGGACTCAAACCGTAGTTGGCCACGAGAGAGTCCAGCACCCCAACCACCATGCTACCTGCTGGCCCCTCCTTTGCCTTCTAAGTCACTTTATTTCTTTAACTGTATCTAGGAGCTAGTAACTCCTGTTTTCTTTCTGAAGTCTGTGAGTTTGCTTTTCTAGCATATCTCTCAATCGGTCTCTGTCTCTCTCCCTCACACATACACACATTACACGCTCACACACACACCATACAATCTCCTGTCCTGGGCTAGCAGGTGGCATGGTGGTTAAGACACTGAATCCCACATGGCTAACTCCATGGATCGAGTACTAGACCTGGTGTCCTGAAAAACATACCAGGCACATGTGTGGTGTGCACCCAAAATCCTGAGAAAAGAGTGGAAGTAAAGAGGAGCTTGGAGAAAGGATTGTGGAGTGGCCATCCACTCTGGGGAGTGCTTTCTCACTTTCCCTCTCTCCGTTTCTGTCTCTCTCTGGTGAAAACATGCACCCTATAGCAACGATTTTTTTTTTTAATTTTTAAAAATCACATTCTTCTTTTCCGCCAGACAGTTCTCTCTTACCAGCAGTTTCTTCCCTGCTGGTCAGAGGTGGGTCTAGAGTAACATCTCCCTTCATTGCTTCCTCGTCTTTCTGGAAAGGTGTATCAAGCCATGAAACTAATCTCTGCAAAGTGTATGTTGGAGCAGGGTGCCCACGGCTGTGCCCATGAGCTCAGGGGGTGACTTGCCTCCAAGCTAGAGTCAGGAGCTCCTAGACGAGGAACACTGTGAGCCAAGCCAGGGGTCAGGGCATCCCACAGCAACAGCCCTGCTTCTCCTGTCATCCCCTGGTGCTCCGCAGCGTTCAGGACCTTAACTCCTACTCCCCTCTGGCCCAGCATTTCGTAATGCCTCTCCATTGCACTCAACCCAAGTCTCAACTTGTGGAGGCCTCTCGAGAGTCCCTGGACACCTATAAGGTCCTTCCACCCTCAGAACCCTGGATATGCTCTTCCGCTGCTTACAAAGCTTGTCCTTTGTCTCCTGTGCCTGGCTCGGCTTAAGTGTCACTTCCTCAAAGGACGTTTCCCTGACACTCCACCCATCATCAGCCTCTTATTAGATCTCTCAGGGAAACTTGGAATTGCCTTTCCAAGGATTTATCTTGGTTTCCATCTACACATTTATAGTTGTGGCATTGCGATTTATGTCTTTCTCCCCCACTAGACTGGAAACATCACTGAGAGGTTTGTTTCACCCTCACCTGCAACTGACTCGACTTCCTGGCCCCTACCTACTGGATGGCATGGAGTGGATACTCCATATCTATTTCTTTAAATCAATGAATGATCTGAGTTCTACTCCTTGGCCCATTGAATGAGACCATTTACGGGAGGCAGGGAATTCTTCCCACCACAGGATTCATGTCCTTGGTCACATCCAACCCATTCTGGGGGATGACTTTGCACGCATATTCCTCATACTACAACTTCAACTTTACATCATTTATTAGATTATAGAATTGCTCGGGGCCCCTGCAAGAAGCAGATGGCACTGTCAGATCGGGCAATTGAGGAGAGTTTCATAAAGAGACTGGTAAAATCGTGTAAGCAGGGCTACTAAAAATCCCCAAGGGATGGACCTAGCAACCATCGGGATCTGTTACCATTCCTAGGCCTGCAGGGGCAAGGAGAGAGGTCCTTAGAATCCAAAGAGAGTCATTGAAGTGGGGGTGGGTGGGTGCTTTCTCCTTCCTCTCTCTGTCTCTCTGTCTCTCTGGCAAGCTTACATGCCTCCTAGCAAAATAGTAATAATTAGTCTTTGTTCAGTTCTGGCTTTTGCTACCAGCAGGCACATCCCACGGCTTGCTTCCTGTCAGTTATGGCATGAAAAGTAAGAAACATGCAAACGCCATGGGTCCTGTCTCCAGGCCCTCCGCTGACCCTCTGCAATTGCTGCAGCGTCCTAAGGGTTCCAAGTGAGGAGGTTCCATTGGGGAGTAGACACTCTCCCTTCCCAGGTCACCAAGCAGGGCAGCGAATCCAACTCCTGCCCTAGAGAGCGGGTCCCTCCGGATCCCCTCACGCATCTCTTCTGCCTCTGGATTTCAGGGGTTCCATGGCTCTGTCTCCTCATTTCTGGCTCCAGGCACCACACTCAGGCTCCACCTCACTGTCCTCCCACCCGACCTTGGTGCTCAGAGCCTTTTGCCTCAGACCCACAGCCCTAGTGGAGCCGCCTGACCCACAGGCAGTAGGCGTGACGTCCCTTCTCCCAGGTACTCAGGCTCCCTATAAGTGTCTTGCAAACTGCCCTAAAGGCTGCTGAGTGGTGCAGGCAACTTCCTCCCTCCCGTCCTTGGAGGCAACCTCAATTCTTTTCTCTCACTTTCAGGGGGACTGTGTCCTGCCCCTTCATGTCCTTCCCCATTGGGTAGGCAGAGGAGGAAGGGATGCGTGACTGTCGGGTCTCCTTGCCTCCCGATCCCCAGCAGCTCAGGACGGTGTGTCTGGGAGACGCACCCATGGGGATGCCCTACGACAGCAGCTGCCCTGTGGCACACAGGCGGATGACTGGGTCTCCTAAGTGGGAAGCCCAGGTTGCAGTGCGCGGGGTTCAGTGAGTGTAGGGGCGGGAGGGGGGGCCCGGCCTGCACTACTCTTCAGCTGAATCAGGGATTCCCAAGGGCTTGTCCCAAGACCCCACCTTCAGGTTGGCATGAATTTCCTTCTCTGTCACGGGATGATTTTTTTCTCCCCTCTAAATATTCTAAGCATTAAAAAAGAAAAAGCCAAATCCCCAAATCCAAACACAATAAAAAGCAAAGACATCAGGAAAAATAACAAGGGATAAAAGCTCTCAATCCCAGCCCCAGACAAGAACCTGCTCTGACGTCCGTGGCACCTGAGGAGTTAACCCTCTGCTGCCCGGGGGGGAAGCCACTTCCCTGGCTCCCTCCTCTCTTCTCTGCCCAGCCCACCTCCAGAGGAGAAAGGGATGGCTGTTTGCCGTCATTCGGGCTATAGATAGCTGGATTTCTTTTTCTATTTTTGCCAAACCTGCACGAGCTCACCTCCACCCTCACCCCCGCCCCCACCCCCACCAAACCTTTTGTCTCAGTGCCTGCTCCCTCCAGAGTGTCAGAGGAACCTGGGGGAAGCTCCCCAGGGCAGAGTAAAATGGGAGGCTTGTGTGTTTCTCAGCACCAATTGCTTACACGGGCTCCCCCCAGGAGCGAGAGACAGGCATGGCCCCTTCTGCACCCCATCTTCACGTCATGTGCCATTCGTGACAGCTTTTGTTGGTATGTAGGCAGCAGGTGGTGGACAAAGGACCCCAGATGGCTTAAGCCACACCCCTTAGCTCCAGTGGGAAGCGGGCTCCTCAAAGGAGAAGAGAGCCTGGAGTCCTTTCAGAGCCTCCCTTTTCTGTTTTTTTTTTTTCTTTTTAAAGAATTATTTTATTGAACTGTATTTTATTTATTTATTCATTTATTTTCATTTGACCAGGAAGGGACAGAGAGAGAGAGAGAGAGAGAGGGAGAGTGAGAAAATAAGCCACCAGGTCCAGGACTCGAACTGCAGTTAGCCACATAGGAGTCCAGTGCCCTTAACCACTACACCACCTGCTGGACCCCAGAGCCCCCTTTTTCTAAACCCAGTGCTACAGGACACTGCATTTTAACAGGAGCAGCCTCGCACCACTCCCACAGAGGAACACTCAATTTGGAAAGGAGAATTTGGTTTGAGAGTCCTGATCCTGCACACCGCCGCAGGTGGCATAAGTGGACCGCAGCTGAATAGCACACTGGAGATTTCCTGACAAACTCTGGCTTAAACGGGTTCAACTCCACCCCCGCCACCCATGCCAGGAGCATCTCCAAGGGTCTCTCACAGCAGCCAGGAGCCAAGTGTTCCCCAGACTGCGGCGTGTTCCAGGGTGAAGCTGGGATGGAGCCACACACCGGATGAGAGAAAAGACACGCCCCCAGGACTGTAGGCTGAGGCATCTCGATCAGCAGCCTGTCCCAGGCCTGGCTGAGGTGGTCATTGCAGATGTGGGCTGGGATAGGCTTGTTCACCCTAGCCCCCTGGTGGGGGTGTATCTGACAGAAAATGGGGATTTGAAAGAGAGGGGAGCAAGAGTTCTACACCCCAGGAGCTTACTCGGAAGGACTAGCAGAGTCTAACACACATAGTCCATGCATTCTTTCAAAACATATTGACTACCTTCTGGGCACCGGTCTTGCTGCATCAGAGACAGGAGCAGACGTGAACCTCGTCCTCAGGGACAGCGCTAGGAAAGACCATGTACCCGAGACTCAGTTCGGGTGCTCCTTGTCCCTCACCTGCTGCTCAGGTTTTGCATCTGTGAAATGGGTGTGCCGAGTGTTCTTTATTGCCTTATGGACATGGAGAAGAAGAAAAAGCTCAAAGTTTATTGTTACATTTGAATTAAAATATAAGAGGAACAGAGGCCAAGCAGGTGACATGGTGGTTAAGGCGTTGGACTCCCACATGGCTGACTACAGTTCAAGTCTCCAGTCTGGAGGTTTGAAAATCATGCAGGGCATATATACACCTGTGTCCAAAATCTCAAGAGGAGAACAGATGAGACAGGATCGACGGGTGGCCATTTCCCCTGAAGGGTGAACTCTCACTTTCCCTCTTACTGTCTTTTTCTCTTGTAAGTGCATATTCCCTTTGGCAAAAACCTTTTTAAAAATAAAATAAAATAAAATAAAATAAAATAACAGGGACATATATAACCACAAGAATGGAAAACAGGACTCTAGTGGGTACATACACACCCATCTTCATAACAGCAGGAGTCCCAGTAGCCAGAAAGTGGAAGCCACCTGTTCTAGTCCGTTCTGTTGGTAACAGCAGAAACACCTGAGCCAGGTAATTTACCAGTTTTATCCCGCCCAGAGTTTGGAGGCCCAGAACTGAGGGGCTGTACCCGCTGTGGGTCTTGCCGCTCCGTCACAACATGGCGCAGGCAGGAGAGCTTGCAGAGCCCAGTCCAAGACTGCCCCAGTCCCTTTCTTTGTAAACCCACAAGGACTCAATCATAGGCATCCCACCCTGATCCCTAATCACTTCCCAAAGGCCCCACCTTTCAATGCCATCATTAGATTAAGTTTCTACCTCTTGACATGGTTACAATGGCCCACCGAATTTTAACAAATGAATTTAAAAATATTTCTTTCATTCTTTCTTCCATGACAGAGCAAGAGAGAGAGACAGAGAAGTAGAGAGGCAAGCACCTCCCCCACAGGGTCCTCATGCCACAATCCACTCCTGGTCTCAGCAGGCCTGAATCAAAGGAAGTACCTGGGATAGGCAGGGAGGTCCCGGGACAGGAGCCAGCACCTTCCCGTGTGTCTCCAGCTCTGCGACAGCTGTGCCACTGCCTGGCTGTAACACGTGAATTTGGGGCGGGCGTGGGGAGGGACACATTCAAACCCTAAGCACAATCCAAATGTCCATCCACGGATGCAGGGACGGACCAAGTATAATGCAGCCATGTGATGAAATATTATTCGGCCATAGAACAGAATGAAGCGCTGATACATACTGGAATATGGATGAATCTCAGAGAGACACTAAATGAAATATGCCAGACACCAATGGACAAAAATTGCAGGATTTCTCCTAGATGAGTTTCTGAGAAGAGGCAAGTGCATAGAAACAGAAAGCAGAATGGTCGTTATGAGGGGCTGAGGGGCAAGGGGATGGGGAACGGGGAGTTATTGTTTAATGGTACAGAATTTGTTTGGGATGAAAGAGTACTGGAAACTCACAGTGGTAGTGGCTGTACAGTCCTGTGAATACACTTAAGGCTGCTGAACTGTGTGCCTACAGGTGACCCACTGAAGATTTTACCACACACTGCACACATACGCACGCACACGCGCACGCACACACACACACACACACACACACTCCTTGAAGCCCAGCTCAGTATTCTAGAGTTCCTAGCATGGATCCAATGGCTAAGGGTCAGATGTGCAGGGCAGTTTTATGAGTTACTGTGTCAGCGTTCAGATCCAGGTCCCAAAACATAAGCAGAGGCTCACAGAGTAAGGACAGCGTTCATCTCACATCAGGTCATCCCAGATGGATCTCATACGATCAAGCCTCCCACCCACTATTCAAATCTTCTGTGACAGGGACTGCAAACTCAAGAACACAGAGGAGCCATCCGAGTCCGTCAGTGAAAGATGAGGCCCTAGAAAAGGACATAAGACATATCTATACGCGAGGCCAGCCAGTGGTGTGGTGGTTAAGGAGAATGGATCCCATATGGCTGACCACACAGATCAAGTCCTGGACCTGGCGGCTTGAGGAACGTGCTGGGCACATGTGCCTGAGTACCCAGAGTACCGAGAGGAGAGTGGAGAAGGGACTGCAGTGTGGTCCTCCCCCTGGGGGGTGTTTCCTCACTTTCTCCCCTCTCTCCAGCAAGCATATGCACCCTATAGCAAATCAGAAAAAAAAAAAAAAAAAGATTTGAAGTGGGCTCACATGTAAAGTGGGCTCTGTCCATGAAAGTTGACACAGCTCACCTCCCTTACTGAGAGCGCGATTGTAAACTTGGTGTTGCCAGATCTTCCAGTCCTGCAAAACACAAACAAAAAAGCAAAACATCTACATTGTTAAACAAAACCCTCCGAATCTGTTGGCAAACATCACAAAACTCTCCTAATCTGTCAGTAACTCATTGAACTTTTTAGAAAATACAGTTGATATCTGTGTGTTCTGTCCACAGATCCAACCAACTTTGGAACAAAAGTATTAATGTAATAGGGCCGGCAGGTGGTGTCATGGTTAAGGTGTTGGACTTTACATAGCAGACTGTGGTTTGAATCCTGGACCTAGCAGCTTAAAAAAAAAAAAAAATCACGCCATGCTGGTGTGCATGCATGCCCAAAATCCCAAGAGGAGAATGGAGGAGAAGGGATAACAGTGTGGCCATGGCCCTGGAAGACTCCCACATAGTTGACCACAGTTTGATCCCCAAACAGGCAGCTTAAACTTACACCAGGCATATATGTGTGCATGCCCAAAATCCCAAGAAGAGGATGGAGGAGAAGAGATTATGGCATGGCCATTCCCCTCTGGGGGACAGCCACATAACTGACTACAGTTAAAGTCCCAAACCCAGCGGCAGCTTTTTTTGCCAGGCACATGTGTGTGCGTGCCCAAAATCCCTAGAAGAGAATGGAGAAGGGTCTGTGTCATGGCCATCCCCTCTTCGGGTGTGGGGGATGATTTCTCGCTTTCTGTTTCTCTGTCTCTTCGGCAAGCACACATGCCCTATAGCAAAAATCTCTCTAAAAAAAATAGTAATAAAAGGAAAACAATACAAGAAAAGAAATGTTTGTGCAACATTAACACTGTATTATTATAAGTGATCTAGAGATGATTTAAAGAATATAGTAAGAGGTGCACAGGTTGTATGCAAATACTGCCCAATTTAATACGAGGACTTAAGCATCTGAAGATTTCAGTATCCACAGGGTGACCTGGGACCAATCCCACACAGATACCAAGGGACAACTGTCCAAGCAAAACACCTTTCAGGCTAGCAGGTGGCATGGTGGTTAGGGCCCTAGATTCCCATGTGGCCAACCACAGTTCAAGTCCCAGACCTAGTAGCTCAAAAATGACAACAAAAAAATAGATAAATAAATTAAAAAAAAAAAAACTTTTAAGGTGAGATCTAGCCCATGGACCACCCATGGGCAAACTCAGTTTCTTCAATTCTTTTTTGTTTTTTTTTTTAAAGAGAGATTTTTGCTATACGGCGTGTGTGCTTGCTAAAGATACAGAGACAGGGAACCAGCAGTTAGTGTAATAGCTATGTCGCTGGACTCCCACGTAGTCGACCACAGTTCACGTCCCGGACCTGGTGGCTTAAAACTCACGCCAGGCGCGTGTGCGTGCGTGATCAAGATCCCAAGAGGAGAATGGAGGAGAAGGGATTGCGGTGTGACCATCCCCCCTAGGGGGTGATTTCTCACTTTCTGTCTCTATGTCTCT